AAAAAAAAAAAAAAAAAAAATTAACTGGGAAGCCTCCCATTGCTGTTCTTAAGTGTTGTTGGCATAAAATCCGTAATTAAAGTTGAATTAAACAGAATCTACTTAGAGGAGAGACAGCTCAAAAAAATTACTTTTTTGCTTTCCTAATCTTATGAAATAAAACCTTTCAAGCCCAACTTCTAGGCTTTGTTTCTCAAGAAGTGCTCTAAAGTTGACAGGCCCATTCATTCTTGAAATTGAACTTGTGTCTTCAGAATGTAAACTTCCACTCATAATGATGATACTGAAGTGTTCCATCATAGGCTGGTAAGCATCATCACCTTAGAGGGAGCCTCCCCCCCCCCAACACACAGACATATGCCATGCACTAGGGCATCTTTTGTCATTTTTGTTCCTGCCAGAACATTACATATTGTGCCAAAGAGTTCCATCCAAATGGTTGTGAGGGCTACGCCGCTGACTCAGCTTCTGTTCAATTAGATGGTGGTAAACTCTAAAACAAGGAGGCCAACTTGGAAGCTCCAATAACTCAGGCTGGATTGTCATCATCTCCAAATCTGGCTCTACAAATTCTACAAGTTCCTCTTTAGAGAAGTGTCGGACACCAGTTTGGGATTTTAAAGCATCGCTTTTGAATATGGGTGTATTGGTCTGGATTCTCTAGAGTAGTAGAACTTATAGAATGAATCTTTCTATAAATAAAAAGGGAATTTATTAGAACAAACTACAGGATGTGGTCTAGCTAATTCAACAATGGCTGCCTGTGAACAGAAGGTCCAAGAGTCCAGGAGTTTTTCAATCCAAGAGGCTGGATGTCTCAGCTGGTCTTCAATAGATCCCAGAATGTAGAAATCAAAAGTTCTAATGCCAGTGAAGGAATGAGCTTGCTAGCAAGGTAAGAGCAAGCAGGCAGAGAGTGAAGCTTCCTTCTTCTATGTCCTCATATAGGCTGCCAGCAGAAGGTACGGCCCAGATTAGAGATGAGTCTTCCTTCCCACCTCAAAAGATCTGGATTAAAGGTATGTCTTCCCATCTTAAAGATCCAGATCAGAAGTGGATTTTCTCACTTCAAATGATCTAACTAAGCAAAAATTCCTCACAGATGTGCCCAGCCACTTTGAGATTTAGTTAATTCCAGAAATAGTTAAGTTGACAACCAACTCATGTTTTTAATAGCACTTTGGAGACTAGTGCATGATTTTTGTGAGTTTGAGGCCAGGCTAGGCTACACAGCAAGTACCAGGCCAACCAAAACCCTGTCTCAAACAAAAAAAAAATATTGACTTTTGATTTATTATCTAGTATTTGAAGGTATAAATTAACTAATGAATTGTAGGGTCTGGCCTTTGACATAAAATAACTGCTTTAGCTACTTTTCTGTTGCTATCAAGAGGCTCCATGACCAAGGCATTTTCCCCACATGAGGTGAGGTCTTCATGTACTCTAGTCTAGGGAAAAGAACCAACAGGTAAACAAGGAGAACACTCAACTCACTGGTCCTCGTCTTTTGTTTCTAGGGCACAAATTCTTCTTCAAAGGACAAATGAAGAGGAAGAAAAAGAAGTATCAATACTGGTGTTGTTCTCTTAATAATGAAGTTATTTTGCTGTCCAGATTTCGCTTTGGGTTTAGTACTTCCTTAGTCAAGGACCTTTTCAGGATTCAGCTCACCAGGTCCCTCTCAGTGGGCTTTAGAGCTAATGATATAACAGATAATGCCAGGGCCCCATCTCTTCTAAATCTAAACACTGGTGAGGGTTGCCTGCTTGGAGAAAGTTGGTGAGTAATGTTTTCTGGGTTTATCTTTCTCAGAGTGTTTTATAATTTCATCATTTCCTGTAGAGATAGTTCCCAACTGACCTCCTGATCAGACAGCTGGACTCAATTCACCTCCTCCCTCCCCCCATAGTTTAGATCTCTGGAAACTATTGAGAAAGAAAAACACATATTTCCAGCAGCACTACAGATCATTGTAATTAACTCAAATGGTACCATGGCCTGACTTTGTGAAATGGTGATCCTTTGTCCTCTGGTTTGTTATTAGCCTGGTTGTTATTGTTGGTTTTTCTTTTCTGAAGGAGAGAGGAGCCAGAGCCACCTTACTCCACAGGCATGGATCTAGCAAATGACCAACCATGGATAGAAACTTCAATTCACACCGTGTAGCCTGAAGGTTTCCCCAGTCCCGCCTGGCCCGCCTGGCCCCCCAGTCCCGCAGCTGCTTATAAAATAATCACTCAGAAGCTTAATATTATTTACAAACTGTATGGCCATGACAGAACTCTTGCTAGCTAGCTCTTATATCTTAAATTCACCCATTTCTATTAATCTATGTTTTGCCACGTGTTCTGTGGCTTTACCTGTCTGTTGGCGTGTTGCTCCTTGGGCAGCAGGCTGGCATCTCCTCCACCTCTCCTTTCTTCTTTCTGTCTCTCTCCTTGGATTTCCCACCTGCCTCTAAACTTCCTTGCCATAGGCCAAAGCAGATTGTCTATTAACCAATGGGAACAGCATATATCACAGCATACAGAAAGACATCCCCCAGCACACAGAAGCTGAAAGAAGAGAACTGAAGCATTAGCAAACAAGCTTGAGGACAAAACTGAGCTTGCTTTCCCTGCCACTATCTCTGTTTTTCTTTCCAAAGAATCCCCAATGCTCTAAACTCCAGACCAAGAATAGTTACCTCTTCATGTTAAAGATTGCTGTTTTCTGCTTTTAACGATTTATTTATTCATATTTTATGCCTATGATTGCTATGTTCTCCCCAAACTGGAGTTAGAGGCAGTGGTGAGCAGTCATGGGGGTGCTGAGAACCAAATGTGAGTCTTCTAAAAGAGCATCAAGTGCTCTTAACTGCTGAGCCTTCTCTCCAGGCATAACTATTATGTCTTCTACCACACATAGGTTCTTTTCACTTTGTTCTGTGATGAGCCCTTCCAGATCCATCTAATATATTTAATCCAGGAAGGCGTCACATTACCTCCAGGAATAACCTTCATCATTGTGACATCCCAAGATGTCACTTGTCAATCTCACCCAGAGTTTATGCACAGAGCTCTCTGTCTGAATAGTGAGGGCTTCTGGGGTAGGGAGGAGAAACTCTTATTTTCTCTCTTCTGCCTAATAAGACATAACAAGAGTTTTATTTGTGTGTTGAATAAATAAATAGCAATATTTTATTTAGAGTCAGTACATTTTCATCCTATTTCAGCTAAACATTTGAGTGGTATTTTAAAAGCCCCTGGAGAATATTCAGATACGTTCTTTTATTTGGCTCTCAAAATTCTCCACATGGCTATGGAAGTATTATCAGCATTTCTTTCTATTATAGCAACATTCAAATGAAAGGTTCTGGGCAGACATGGGGAATGACAATGAAACATTACATGTCACTGAGAACATTCGTAATGCCACTGATACTTGAGATGAGATAAAATGGCCAGTGTATGTGTTCTCTAGTCTACCAGAAGAAGAAAAGAAAGACAAGGAG